CCCTTTCCTTATTGTCTTTTCTATTCTTCAATCTTATCATCCTCCTTTGGGGTTTCCTTGTTTTCAAAGATTATGTTTCACTCCTTAGAGAATGGAAAATTATGCCATCTGAATGCTTGTGTGTGTGTGTGTGTGTGTGTGTGTGTGTGTGTGTGTGAAGGCTTGTATCTTTTTTGCTTTAGTTACCCAAGTGTGCTCTTTTCTGACTATTACTGGTATGTGGACACACACAGCTATATAGCAAAACTAGTGTTTTCTAGAGAAGTGATGAGTGCTAGGAGAGGCATCTAAGGTGTCTGAGACTCCAGTTCCAATCTGACGTCTTCAACACCATTCATAAAATCTGTTGGGTTTGTTGTTGGTTTTCATTTTTTGCCTTTTTTTTTTGAGACAGGGTTTCTCTGTGTAGCCTGGCTGTCCTGGAATTCTTTCTGTAGTCCAGGGAAACTTATGGATCTGCCTGCCTCTGCTGCCCAGCTATAAAATTTGTTCTAAATACTCATAGAAGTACTTGCAAACTGAAAAGGCAGTCACTCTCATTTTTCCTTAGCGAAGTGCAAATTGAAAGCTACACTGAGGTATCACGACACACCAACTAGGGTAGTAATTTTAAGACACTGACATGACCAAATGCTGGAGAGGCTGCTGACAGTGACTGATGGGAACTATAAATTGATATAAACATATTGAAGAAGTATTTGGCTATAAAAGTTAAACATGTGTTTGTTATCACCGGAGAAATTTGTATAAACAACTGAGTAGAGGAATACAGATAGATATATACGTAGGTTAACTTCATAAAAATTTTGTATATATTTAATAACTAATAAAATGCAATCATTGTTACAAAAATAATATACTTCTATTTCCTCAGTTCCTGGAATAGAAAAATTTCAAGAGCAGGGAAGCTGAGCTTCATTGTCCTAACCTTTGAGGGCTGAGTGTGTGTCTGGGTGCCCAGGGCTGTCTTCCTTCTTTGTGGTTCTGCTTCCATGTCCTAGGAAGTTGGGTGTAATCTCTCAGGATCCATCTCACTGTGAGAATGTATTTGCTGCTTAGAAATTGTCAACAAATTTCAATTGACAAATGGCCTTAATTTCTACCACACAGAAAAATAATATCACATCAATTTCTTTTTTTACAGGTTTATTTATTTGTTATGTATACAGTGTTCTGTCTGCATGTACCCCTGCAGGCCAGAAGAGGGCACCAAATCTCATTACAGATGGTTGTGAGCCACCATGTGGTTGCTGGGAATTGAACTTAGAGGACCTCTGGAAGAGCAGGCAGTGCTCTTAACCTCTGAGCCATCTCTCCAGCCCCCATGTCAATTTTTAAGATGTTTGAATTCTTCCTACCCTATACTGGTGTTAATCTGAAGGCCTGAAATTTGGGGTTCTCTCTATAATATCGAGTTTATTTCTATAACAAGAGACAATTCAAACTTTGAGTGCCTACAGTTTGGAAATGTATCAGTTCATGGAAATATGAGAGCAGAAAAACGTACTTTTTAAGCTTCAAGCTTGTTGTTCCATCCAATCTTATTAAGACACTGCCTCCGAGCTTTGCTTTCTTTAGTGCCAACTTTATTATTGGGACTTATTTCCTTTGGTTGGTGAAAATTAGCCACAGTGTGCTCCAGGTTCAAATGATCTCACTCTGTGCCTCTTTCATGAGAATCCTAACAAAAGTTCAAGGGAGAGCTTCCGGGGCAGGTTTGGGCCACTGGTACATGGCTGACCTATGTATTGAAGATGGGTTTCTGTCCTAACATGCTCTGAGGTTGTGGTGGGAAGGGTCAGGGAATGGCTCATCCTCAGTAAAGAAAGTATGTTTTAACGGAAAAGGGAGGGCCTTCTTAAATTACCAGAATCCCGTCTTTCCTGGAAGTAGTTTGTGGGGAGCTACCCCAAACCCCTAACCTTGAAGTGATGATTTTATTGGTCCCTTGTTGCTTAAGTCAATGAATATACCATATTCAAAAGTGAGAAGGGAAACTATTTCAGTTGGGAATACATGCAATTCTAGCCCTGTTTTGGTTCCATAACAACATTGTTTTGCTGAAGCATTTGGATGTGCTTTTTTTTGGTTCCATAACAACATTGTTTTGCTGAAGCATTTGGATGTGCTTTTTAAGTCTATTCAGAAAATTGTTCTCAGCTGCCATGCTAGCTATTTTATGTCAGCTTGACACCAACCAGAGTCATTTGGGAAGAATGAACTATCCATTGAGAAAGCGCTCCACCAGGACAGCCTGTGGGCAAGCCCATGGTACATTTTCTAGACTGCTGACTGATGTTTGTGACCCAGCTCACTGTGGGAGGTGCCACCACTCCTAGGTGCTATGAGAAGATAGGCCGTACAAGCCTTGAGGAACAAGCCAGTCAACAGCACTCCTCCATGGCCTCTGCCATTAGGTTCTGCCTCCGGGCTCCTGCCTTGTTTTGAGTTCCTGCCCTGACTTCCCTCACCAATGGACAGTGATGTGGAACTGTAAGATGAAATAAACCCTTTCCTCCCCAAGTTGCTTTTGGCCGTGGTGTTATATCATAGCGCTAGAAACCCTGAGACAATTGGTTTCTCCAATATAGAAGATATTTAAGAGATGGTGAAGTCAAACTTTCAGTGATTGTGCACAATACAGTCAATGTTATATTCTGTTTTCTGAGACAAGGTCTAACCCCATAACCTTGGGCTGCCTTGGAACTCTCTATGAGGAGGACCAGGCTGGCCTTGAACTCACAGAGATCCACCTGCCTACCATGTGGTGGAATTAAAGGCGTGTGCCAACACACCAGTATATTCTTTTTAAAAAATAATTTATTTATTTTAGTGCATTGGTGTGAAGGTGTCAGATTCCCTGGAACTGGAGTTACAGTTGTGAACTGCCATGTGGGTGCTGGGAACTGAACATGGGTCCTCTGGAAGGGCAGCCAGTGCTCTTAACCACTGAGCCATCTCTCCAGCCCCCACACAAGTATATTCTTAAGAAACCCTCACATGTTATTCTCAGGAGGAGAAGCAGCTTGCTGCCACTCAGATCAACTTACTTTATATGATATGGATCTCTGTCCTAGTTCACACTAAGTAGAATTCTATTATATTTCTTAGCTCACAGCACAACACGTACCTCCATTTATCTTATATAATTCATGCTCACACAATGATTATTAACTCAAGAGTTTAAAATTGGCCACTCTCTGATAAGATAAAAAAAAAAAGATAACCAAGCATCCTCCTGTGGTGAACTTCGAGCTAATTTCAACATTGCAACACAGTACTAGATACTGACCTTCAGCCGCCTGCTTGCCATGCACAGGTGATTCTGGGTTGCAGTGGGGGAGGCTACTGATTTGCTTTGTAACATTAGAAGCCTGCTTCTCTTGTTTTCTCAGCTGCAGTCCACCAGTTTCAACCATAAAACCTCCAAACAGAATGCTGTGGTGTTTGTTTTGACTTGTTTTACCAAGCAAGCTCGAAGCAGAGGTGAAGATAGGTGGAGTGGCCTTGCCAAACATCTTGCTTCACCAAGAAGCGCCTCAGATAGGCTTCAACTCACAGGCTATTGCGAAAGCTACAAAATTGAGAAAGTTATCGGCACACCAGACAGAGAACACAGAGTGCCAAAAAGACCTGGGATGGGAACATGCTAACATGTTCAGTGAACAGCAAGGAAGCCACTCTGGCTGAAACTCAGTAAGTGGGTGAATCCTACAGGCAGAGGCATACTCAGAGGGCAGGGCATATGGGGCTCACAGAGGATGGCGGGGGCTTTGAATCTATTCTCAGTGTGACAGGAACCCGCTGGAGAGTTTTGAGCAAGGAACTAATAAAGGTCAGAGTATGTTCTGAAAATATCAATGACAGCCAGGTGATGAGCAGGAAAGAGCAAAATTTTGTAGTCACGAGAGAGAAACCAATCCACTTATTTCACGAAGGAGAGAGTTCAGGAGTAAACACCATCAGAAAGAAGAATGGGGTGGTGAGAAGATTAGAAACTGCCCAAAAGGTTCTCAGTCGGAGTTCATCATTCCTGTACCATTTGGAGATGCTGTGACTGTCATCCTGTCTACCCGAGGAGCCACCATGTCAAGGAATTCCTAGAGGCAGGAATACACTTATCTCCCCTTCCACCATAGAAATTGTCAGCATGTGCCACGCTAGTAAATACAGAGGAAACAGAATTTTTTATTCTGATTTTCCTGGTAGTCCTTCTTTCTGGTTAAGATTCCTGGGATGCCGAGGAGGGAGGAGAACCTCCTGTGGGCCCCTGAAGTACAGAGTATAAAAGGACACGTGTAGGATTATGGCGTTACAGATTCATAGCCTCCAAGCAATCAAGCAGGGAGCCTATTGGGATACTATTGCTATATATAATTTGAACCATCAAACATATATTCGGAAGTTAAGATCAAAGAGGTAGGGAACACTGAAGGAAGCATGTTTGGTGAAGAATAAATCAAAAGTCTAATGAAATTAACGGTAAGGCACCCATTATAAGTCTAAATACAGAATAACTTTTAGTCATTCCAGAAGATGAGGACACCCCGAATGACCACCATTGCTGAGCAGCCCCAGACGGTCCGGATGCCCACCATTGTTAATTAGTCTGGAGCAGACATTTGGGGAAACCTGGGAGGTGCAGGTTCTCTCTCTGGAGCAGTTTTGCCAGACAGGGGAACAGAAAAATTGGATTAAAAACCAGAGTGGGCGATGACAATGCTGGCGGGTGTACACTGGATCCACTTCCGTCGCGCGTGCGCCACCCGGGTCCGTTCCCTGGGACTGCCCCACCCCGGCACCCTGCCCGCAACTTTGCAGCTGAGTCTGAGGAGCCGAGGGTGGGAGGGGGTGAGGGGGGCCGCTTCCGGCCTGGCGAGCACCCCCCACCCCCACCCTCACCCCGGGGCCTCAGTTTCTTCTCCTAGAGGACGTCCCGCCCCTTTCTGAAGCCACAGCAACCCTTCCGCAGGTCCGCAGGCCACCAGCCGCCCGCGGACAAGGATCTTGAAGCTCTGCGAGTTGTTGGGGGTGGGGCTTCGCAGTCACGTGCAGCGGCCCGGCCAATAGGCGCGCGTCGCGTCGTTGGCTGCAGAGCGGTCGGGCTTGGCTTACTTGGAGGCCTGGTCTGGGCGGATAGGCTGGTGGAAAGTGTGAGCCGAAGGTGGCACTCAGCAGCTGCGTCTGTCCGAGCAGCGCGTCGCCAGGACTGTGTGGCCACATCTGCCCCCCTCGGCGTTCTCCACAGGCTCGATCATGGAGCGTCAGGTCCAGCGGCTTCGCCAAGCGTTCCGGTCCGGCCGATCGCGGCCGCTGCGCTTCCGAATGCAGCAGCTCGAGGCCCTGAAGAGGATGGTGCAGGAGCGCGAGAAGGACATTTTGGCAGCCATCGCGGCGGACCTGAGCAAGGTGAGCCACCGCGGAGTGGGAGGGACCCGGCGCGTCCCCTTGTTCCTGAGCTGTAGCAGGTTGTTTTGTTTATCCCGCAGTAAAGAGGAAGCAGTTACTGCGGACTCTCCAGTCCTGCTTAGAACCCAGACTGTTTTATTTGCACTTAACGTTGAAGTGTGTGCTTTACCTGGTACTCGACAGTTTCTCTTTATAGGCTTGCTCATCTCTACTGCATTTGTAGTTTCTTTCCTTACAATGTGTCCTCAACTCTCTGGATATTCTGGGTGTCGGTAGCTTGTCCGCTCGGTAGATTCAGATATTTCACTCCCCGTCTTACTTCTTAACTTTTTACAGTGGGTTCTTCTTGTAGACAGTGTTATTATTTTTTTTAAATAATCTTCAACACTCACCTTTTCCTCCATGACTTTGTGTATACGTATTGCTTAAACTCTAGTACACTGACAATCACTCCGAGGACCTGTCAGATTTCTAATGAGGTCCCAGGTGATATCATATGGCCTCTTTAGAAGCAAGCTTTGGATGCCAAAGTTTTAGTAGTGTTTGAGGTTTAACTATATTCTCCTGTACTCTCCAGTAATACTGGTTTTTTCTTATTACTTTCTATCTATATTCCAGTCATAGTAGGACCTTTATTTTTAGATTTGCAACCCTCCCTTCCCCAATCAAAGACTATTTCAAGAGGTGGTAACAGTAGTTGGAGTACTTCTACCTTCAGGGTCCTTTTGGTAAAGAGGGGCTGTGATAGTAAACAAAGATAGGACAATGAATATTAAAACCATACGAGTCATCCATTCTGCCAGCATCAGATATTCTGTGTACATACTTAGGGTTACTGAAGAAATAACAGCAAATCCAGAATTTTAAACCAGGCTGCAAAGTGGAGCATATACAAAGTGTGAATATGGCTATAAACCGTGTGCTAGGGATGAAGTACTAAGATACAGCTCACAAGCAAATTGCCACAGTACCTGAATTGTGACTGAGGCAGGTTGTTATTAATCAGGGAGGTGTTGCTGAAAGAGATAATTTTTAACCCTAATTTTAAAAAAGGCTTGAATCAGTAGAGAAGAATGAGAGGAAGAGTCAGCAAGAGTATCCAGGGTGTGTCTTATTGAGAACTTGGAGGTTAAAAAATAGCTGCTAGCAAACTTGGAACAGGAAACTTCCACCTACACCCTTTAGTACAGTTCCTCATGTTGTGGTGACCCCAACCATAAAATTGTTTCATTGCTGCTGTTACTGCGCCTTCCATTTATTCATTGATTATGTATGCAGTGTTCTGCCTGTGTGTTTGCCCGCACACCAGAAGAGGGCACCAGATCTCATTACAGACAGTTGTGAGCCACCATGTGGTTGCTGGGAATTGAACCTGGGTCCTCTGGAAGAGCAGCCAGTGCTCTTAACCTCTGAACCATCTCTCCAGCCCTCATTGCTACTTCTTAACAGGAATTTTGCTACTGTTCCAGATCATAATGTGAATATCTGATATGCAGATTATCTGATATGTGACATCTGTGGGGGTCGAGACCCACAGGTTGAGAACCATTGTCCTACGCCAACTATACTGTACTCACTGTAAGATTAACTGATTTTCTTTTCCAGAGTGAACTCAACGCATACAGTCATGAAGTCATTACCATCCTTGGGGAAATTGATTTTATGCTGGCAAATCTTCCTGAATTGGCTTCTGCTAAACCAGCTAAGAAGAACCTGCTTACCATGTTGGATGAGGCCTATGTTCAGCCAGAGCCTCTGGGAGTTGTACTGATTATTGGAGCTTGGAACTACCCTTTCGTTCTCATCATGCAGCCACTGGTGGGAGCCATCGCCGCAGGTCTGGTGCCAGCTGATGTCTTTATTCCTGTGTAGAGGGTCGTACTGTGTCATATTAGTTGTAAGCTAATGATAGTATCTAGTTAAATACATTTACTTTGGTGGTTTGCCTTGGTTGACACCAGCAACTTATTAAGAATTCATATCTGTACTTCTGTTTATGAATGCTGAAGTACATAGGGGATGAATCTGTGCGAGTCAGAGGCATCTGAGTCAGTAGTCCCAGGATGTTAAGAGTTAGGCATCCATCATATTCTAATGTAGTTTTAGTTTCTGGCTCTGCCTTTAGAAAACAAGCCATTTGGTTTCACTTGACTAGTTTCTTTATTCAAATAAAGGTATTAGGTGTAATACTAGCTAGAGCGTACAGCAAATCTCAACAGATTGAATTCTTAGTTTGTCAACAGTTTATGTTGACCTAGCCCGTTTGCTCAGTGATTCTAGGGCAGAGAGAGAAAGCCATGATAGAACTGCAGAGAGAGAGATGTCTGGGCAGTGTGAGAGGCAGGGGGAGCCTGTTGTCAGTGACCTGAAGATACTGAGAGCTAACTGCTTGGCAAGGAAAACATGAAAAGAAAGAGGACATGTGATGTGAGGTAGGACAGATTTAAGAGCTGCAGAAATAAGGGAAACTTAGCCTGTACCCTACATAAGTGTCATTTTGGAAGCTGTTAAAGTTATTCAAGTATTGGATGATGATGTTCTGCTATTCACTTTATTCAGGAAATGCTGTGATTGTTAAGCCTTCAGAACTAAGTGAAAACACGGCCAAGATCTTAGCTAAACTCCTCCCTCAATATTTAGACCAGGTAAGAATATCTTGATCCATCTTCAGCACATCTGTTTGTGGTGGAAAACACAGATTTGACTCTTCTGCTAGCGATGTCATTGCTGGCTGCAGATTGGTATGGTTTCCTTAAGTCTCCAACAATCGGTTTAATAAAGGAAGCCAGGTTCCAAAATACAAAACACTGCAACTGTGGTTACATAGTGTATTTAGGCCTGTAGCTTTATGTGTGTCTCTTATCTTTTTCTACCATTTGATACTTCCTAGGATACAATTTTAGACATCGTTCATTTAGTGAAATAGTTCATAAGAGGCTAGCATGGGGTTTTTGTTGTTGTTTTGTATTTTGAGACAGGTTTTCTCTGTGTAGATTTGGAGCCTATCCTGGCACTCACTCTGTAGACCAGGCTGGCCTCAAACTTAAAGAGATCCTCCTGCCTCTGTCTCCCAAGTGCTGGGATTAAAGGCATGCACCACCAATGCCTGGTGAGACTAGCATGTTTTTGTCACTATCTTTTTTTCCTAGAAGAACATCATGTGTGGTATTTCATGAGTACTCTGATTTTTAAAGGCTTGTCTGTGGCCTGGAAGAGAGGGCCTTCCTCAAGTAGCACTATGAGTTAACGTGTAGGCACCGAGAGCATTGAAGGCTGACTAGGGAGAGTGATACCCCAGGTTTTGGGTAGGGGATCAGACTCAGGAGTTCTCATGACCTCTAGAGAGGAAGTTGACTGCTTCATGACTGCTGGGTTCCACATGCAGTTTTGCAGGGGAGAGTATTCACTTCGGGTTCATCAAAAGGCAACTTTAAAACACCCGATTTGTATTCTATGTATTAATTTGTAGCGTCCCTGATACCAACTCTGTCTCTTAGAGTAATTTTGTTATCCATATTGTCTTAACACTGTCATCATAGCTCACAGAACAATTTGGCTCTAATAGCTTGGTTATCTAATCTAGCAGGACTAAATGGAAAACAATGAGGTGTCATGGATTGAGTAGGACTTGGAACCGGAAGATAGATGATTAAGATCTTGATTTGTCCAAATGGAGAGGATGATAATATACCTGCCTCAGTTAACTGATGGGTTAATTTACCTGTGGATTAAAGCACAGAAAAATTAAAACTTAAAGTACATTAGTCAGTTGAACTACAATGTGACTAAGAACTACTAGTTAGCCTTCTAATGAGCCAGAGACCAAATGAGGACTGGAGGTTGACAAGCCAGCTTATCCATCAGACATCTTAGACAAACATCTCGTGTTTTCCTTGCCATTTGTTGTCAGTCATTCCTTTTGCCCTTGCTTTTATTATTCGAAGTACTTAATAGTAGTATATTGCATGTGATGGGTATTGCACAGATGTTATGTGACGAAATTTCCTCAGAGGTTGCCTGAGGTTCAGTAGCTTGCCTAAAATCACAGACGCTAGTGAGTGGCAGAGCCTGGATTCAATCCAGATCTACTTCAAAAGCAGGTGCCCTCAGCTACAATGCTCTGTGCCCTGTTCATTGGGCGGATATGGTCATATTTACCTTGGACTTAGACCTACTGTATTTTGTATTGTGTAGAGAAAGAACTTTGGGATTAAGACGTGTGACTGCAAGGTTGGAAATGCAGCTCAGGAGGTAGAGTTATGGCCTACTGTGTGTACAAGGCTCTGGGTTGGATCCCCAGCACTGTGCAAAACACAGCAAAACAGCAACAAAAGTCCCTCACGATACCCTCCCCTCATCTTACACATTTCCCCTGTTGAATCTGTTTGTTCTCATTTGTGCGTTCATTGCCAAGCTCATGTAGAAAATACTGACCTCTGTCTCTGAGTCAGTCTGAGGTTGATGGTTCCTGGTCACTAGCAGATCCTTTGTTCTCCATCTGTCTTGAGTCACCTCCCTGATCTGTCTCTCACAGGAGGTGATCTTGATCTTTTGGGTTTAATGAGTACTACTTATTTGTGTTGAAGACTTACTGACATGACACAGTTAGATTAATTTGACAATGCAAGAATCTTTCTCTTTCTTGAGGACCTGTATGCGGTTGTTAATGGTGGTGTCGCAGAGACCACAGAGCTCCTGAAGCAGCGGTTTGATCACATTCTCTACACAGGAAACACTGCAGTGGGAAAAATTGTCATGGAAGCTGCTGCCAAGCACCTGACCCCTGTGACCCTGGAACTCGGGGGGAAAAGCCCCTGTTACATAGACAGAGACTGTGATCTGGACATCGCCTGCAGGTGAGACTGGGTTTGCTTTCCTGAGGTTTCTCCCAGCAGGTGGAAGTTCTTGCTAATAGTGTTTTCCTTTACACTTGAGCCTCATGACTTCTGGCTTCAAGGTTCATCAGACTTTAGTGGTTGGTGTGCCCAAGAGTAACTGGAGTCTCTCAAACTGTCTTCTGATGCCACTGCTACGATAGGGAACCACACATAGGTCCTGCTAGCATGTAATTTTCCTTAGGCAGTTTGGAAACATTCTTATGGATAAATCTGGCAAGAAAATTTTCCCAGAATTGCTTTTTATTTTCCAGTGTTGGGATCAAATTATGGTAAGCCTGTGCTCCACATTAAGCTACACCCTGAGCCTGTGGCAAGAAAGTCTAATGTCCTGCTGGTTGATGAGACAGATAATCCAAAGGGTTGTGTGTATTAACAATTCTCAGTTGAAAGGGTATTATGTTCACTTCTTAGCTGAGATCCTTTGGTGACAAAACACTATGACATTAATAGCATTTTGCATCTGAGAACCAGAAAATAAGAATTCAGTTTTTTCTTTATTAAGTTAGGTTTGACAGATAGGAAATGAATGTGTCTGTGCTCTGGGTGATGTGGTCTCTCCCCTTTCAGAGCTGTGGTCCCGAGGAGGTGGGGAGTTGGGTCAGAGTTGCTTTTTGGCCTCTTTAAATAGAGCATAACGTCCAGAAAACGAGACCTGCAGTGAATGCTGAGGTTGCAGGCTTTGTCTGTGTGTGAAAAAGGGAAGGATCCACATGGAGGGGCATGGTAGAGGACTTTGGCTGTTCCCTCTTTATACCCGCACAGCCTGTTAGCAGTACTAAACCCTCAGAGAGCCGGAATCTGAGCTGTGTGCTCATCCAGAATGATCTTTGGCTGGATGAGAAAGGAAGTAGTGTTGGGAGGCTATTTCCTTTCTCCACAGGCTGTGTCTTCACAGCCTGTTAGGTGCTACTTAACAGACCTACTCTGGGAATTTTCTTGCTTCTTGGAATATTTTACCTCAATAAATTCTAGGGACTGGAGAGATGGCTCAGAGGTTAATTACACTGGTTGCTCTTCCAGAAAACCCAGGTTCATCCATGTGGCAGCTCACAACTGTCTGTAACTCCGGTTCCAGGGGATCTGACATCCTCACACAGACATACATGCCGGCAAAACACCAGTGCACATAAAATAAAATAAAGTATTTTTAAAAATATGCTTTCTAAAGCCTAGTGAGATGGTTCAGTGGTAAAATTATTTGATGCACAAATTTGACAGTCTGAGTTTGATACCTAGAACTCATGATTTTAAAAAGTGAAATCACCGGGCAGTGGTGGCGCTCGCCTTTAATACCAGCACTCAGGAGGCAGAGATAGGTGGATCTCTGAGAGTTCGAGGCCAGCCTGGTCTACAGAGTGAGTTCCAGGACAGCCTCCAAAGCAATATAGAGAAACCCTGTCTCAAAATAAATAAATAAATAAATAAATAAATAAATAAATAAATAAATGTGAAATTCTAGCTGGGAGGTGGTACATGCACACCTTTAATCCCAGTACTCAGGAGGCAGAGGCAGGCAGATTTCTGTGAGTTCAAAACCAGCCTCGTCTACAGAGGGCATTCCAGGGCAGCCAGGGTTATTTTGGTGTCTCCAAAAACAAACAAACAAACAAAAACAAAAGCCAGATTCTGAGTAGATGGGAGGCCTCATTATGCAGGAGCACACGGCAGAAGCAAGAGGCACCCGCCCACCTCAGCAAGATAGGAGAGAACCAATTCCCAAAATGCCTTCTAGCCTCCATGCATACACACAGTGGCATGTATACTTGGGTGTGCTCGCACACACACCAAATCAAAAAGAAATTTGAAAATGTGTTTTAAGTTGCAACAAGGTGATTTACAGCTCAGAGTTTTTTACTTATTTTGTTTTTAACAATTACTAACTAAATATACAAAGCCGTATCGGTTGGCATGATGGTTAATCTTTGTCATCAACTTGATGGCACTATGGAAACAACCCTAAACCTGGAGTTCTGTGTGAAAAAAACAGGAGTCACTTGGCAGTGGTGGCACATGCCTTTAATTCCAGCACTTGGGAGACACAGCCATGCGGATCTCTGTGAGTTCGAGGCCAGCCTGGTCTACAGAAGAGTTCCAGGATAGCCTACAAAACAAAACAGAGAAACCCTGTCTCGAAAAACCAAAAAAGAAAAAACCAGGAGTCAAACTGAGCATAAGTACTGGTTGCTCTCTCCTCCTTGGCCTTGGGTGCCATGTGACCAGTAGTGTCAAGTTCCTGCTGCCATGACTCCCCCCTGCTGTGATGCAGTACCCTTCAGCTGTGAGTCAAAGTTAGCTCTTCCTTTCTTAAGTTGCTTTTGCCAGATGTTTTGTCAAAGCAATATGCAAAGTACCTAATACATTGGGAAACAAATAAAATAACAATGAAAAAGTGACTGAAGTGTATAGGTATTCTGGTTTTGGTTTTGTTTTTTTTTTTTCTCACCAGACGCATAACCTGGGGAAAGTACATGAATTGTGGTCAAACTTGTATTGCTCCAGACTATGTCCTCTGCGAAGCCTCCCTCCAGGATCGGATAGTGCAGAAGATGAAGGAAACAGTGAAGGTTTGTATTCCGCTGTTCTGATCTCACTGATGAAAGTCAAATTGCACCAAAGCACTTTCAGACAGCATCTCTGTTCATGTCTACCCAGCCCAGACAATTCCAGTCACGTATGATGTGCATCTGTGGGAACGAGGCCAAGTTGATGCCAGTTCACTTAAATTGTGTAGCTTTATTGATAATTAGTTGGGCCATATACTTAAAGTCAAAAATGTTTTCTGTGCTTTTGAGAGAATGTTTCCAAATCTCTTGAAGAGAGGCCTTGTTGTGAAGATAGTTATCAGTTGTCGTGTGTGTGGAGGGCCAGATGGTCAGTCGTCTGAAGGAGTGAAGTAAATACCTACCTAAAATGCACTCTGTAGAGCAGTGCTTCTCAACCTTCCTGTTGCTGCGACCCTTTAATACAGTTCTTAGTGCTGTGATGATCCCAACCATAAAGTTATTTTCATCGCTACTTCATAACTGTTATTTTGCTACTGTTATGAATCATAATGTAAATCTCTGATATGCAGGCCATCTGATATTCGACCCTTGTGAAGGGGTTGTGACCCACAGGTTGAGAACTGCTGCTGGAGAGGGTTATCCATCTTCCAGGGTACATAAAAGAACTAATGAAGACTGTGCTGTGGTAACAAGCTAAGGCTTGAAAGAGATGTGGGATTTTCATTGATAGAGAATGTTTTACTGGGGTGCTGAGTTCAGGTACAAAGACTAACTAGTAAGCCACCTTGTTGAGATAACTTTTTGTTAATTGAGCACCTGAAAGGCTGGAGAGTACCAAAGAGTAATGTATGAAGAGAGAATGAAAACTACCATGAAGTGTAGAGAGAGGATAGGTGAGAGGAGAATCGGTAATGAAGCCCGAGGATCCAGGAAAGGAGAACATAAAAGTTGTCTAGATCTGAGAAATGGGGGTGGGAGGGAGGGTCAAGGTTGCTGTGAGACTGAACTCAGTTGGGAATGGATCTGTGCTTTATTGAATACAATGATAAATCCCAGAGGATCAGTGACCCCTCTACCCCACCTTTAAAGAGTTTGTGCTATGACATGAGTTCTCAGCTAGGTAACATGCTGGATTAATTAGAGAGCCATTAAAAATAAGTCTGTAGCCCTTATCCTCAAAGATTGTGATTGATATGGTGTGGTCCCCACCCCCAGCTTGATAGTCTGTGATTCAGTCAGCCAGAAAACCTGACTGTGTTGGTGGCCTTGGACTTGGACAGAACATGTATTTCAACAGGCTGCCTGGTAATTCCGGCTGCCCAGACCTTTGAGTTCATCTGGGTAGGTCAGTAGATAAGACCTTTGTAGTTCAACATCAGATTCTGAGTTCTCACAGGGCTGTCAGCTTCCCAGCAAGTCCACATTACCTGTTTGTTTTGCATGGTAAATACTGGTTATCCTTATTGAAGGTGTTTTCCTTTGGTAATTTAACAAGGCTGTATCTCTGTGTCTTATACATTGAGTAGTTTTGCTGTTATCGGTGACGGGTGAAAATACAAGTCCAGAGACGACAAAACCAACAAAATAGAGCAAAGGTTAACAAACTTCTTTGGTAAAGGTTAGATGAGAGTAAATATTTAGCATTCAAAGACCAAAGAATCTCCGTAGCAACTGCCTAACTTACTTCTGGGAGAGGCCAGCTGACATGCAAACCAGTGACCTCTTCCCTGACATCTTCCAAAAAGGGCTGTGAGGGGACTGCAGGGTCTGTAGGCACCTGGAGAAAAGTGCAGGCAGAAGGTGTGTGAGTGTCAGAGAATGTGTGTGAGGGGATGTGTGTGTCTGAGAGTCTACTTATTTGTTCATTCTTGACTTGTCTAAAAGCTCAAAGTTGCTTCTACTGTACTATTACTAAATGATTTGAAGAGTGGTTGTTGGATTCTGTGAAGATATGAGGTCAACTTTTAGATACCAGTAGATTTTGAACTTATTAAAGAAGTTGAAATATGGATTTTTTGACAAGTAACTAACTCATGTTGTCTTTAATAGGACTTTTATGGGGAAAATATAAAAGATTCTCCTGATTATGAAAGGATCATTAATCTTCGTCACTTTAAGAGGTTACAGAGTTTGCTTGAAGGACAGAAAATAGCTTTCGGCGGGGAGACTGATGAGGTCACACGCTACATAGGTAAAGGAAATTCCCTCTTTCTTGTAGGCAGATAGTAATTTGGCATTTTCGCCAACATTTACTGAGCCTACATAAACTGTAAATATTGCTTTTCCTTGTACTGGTTTTTTAAATGTATATGTGCATGCCCCTTTAATACTATCTTGTATTTTCATGTATATTCCTTGATTCTTTTATTCTAAACTCATGAGAGTCAGAGTGGGATTTTACATACTTATCCCCGTTCGTGGATGAGAAAGCAGCTCATAATCCCACAAGCAACAAGGTCAAGCACAGCAGGTCAAAGCACTACCTGGAAAGATGTGGCATAATTTAATTGTGGGATTATGAGCTGCCTGGGAGGCATTTTCTTGATTAATGATTGATATGGGAGGCTCAGACCACTGTAGGTGGTGCCAACCCCAGGCAGATGGTCCTGGGTTGTATAAGAAAGCAGGCTGAACAAGTCATGGGGAGCAAACCAGTAAGCAGCTCTCCTTCAGTTCCTGCCTTGAGTTCCCTCAGTGATGGAGTATGAGCTGAGTGTTGTAAAATGAAATAAACTTTTCCTTCTCAAGTTGCTTTTAGTCATCACAGCAAGAGAAAATTAAGATACTATGGTACCTCTATGCATATGTACACACACACACACACACACACACACACCCCAATAAGATGAAAAATTAAGGTAAACAAACAAATTCAGTGTAACATGGGTTAGGGATACAGCTTAGTGGTAGAGTACTGCCTTACGTGCATGGTGCCCTAGGTTCTGTATAAAATGAAACTTGACACAAGATATATTCATTGCAAAAAGCAAAGTACTCATGGCTTGCTCAGTCTGCTTTCTTATACATCCTAGGACCACCTTGGGTGCTGGGCCCACCCACATCAATCATTAATCAAGAGACCTGCCTACAGGCAGTCTGATGGAGGGATTTTTCTCAATTGAGATTCCTCTTCTCAAATAACAAAAGTCGATACAATGTGGAAGTCAGGGGACAACTTGAGGGAGGCATTTCTTTCTATGTGGGCTCCAGGGATCGAAATCAGGTTATTCGGCTTAGTGGTGAGTAACTTTACTTGCTGAACCATGTCAGGGCTTGTACTTTGATTTTTAAATAAAATTTTCACATTTGGTGGGCAAAGAAGCTGCCCCCAAATTAATTTACGTACCTTTTCTTATCAGCCGTTAAAAAAAGAAAACTTAAAAGGATACAAATAATTAGAAATTCATAGAGATTCTCCTGGTTTGCACGGTTTATTGGTTGTTAATACCACCAAAAACACAAAACAAAAAACCAGTTCTTTCCTCTTGCTGCTCTTCCTATCTCCTAGGTGGCAGTGTGACCCGTTTCCACACCAGTCAAAGACTAAGTGAAGGGAGAATTGTCAAGGTTAGCTTGGTCTAGTTAGGACTTCTCCCTGAGCTCAGCAGAGGATTTGGAAGGGAACCAAAACTAGGTCTGGCATACTGTGAGAGGATAAACCAATAGGTGTGCCTAGTGGGTGGTTGACTCAGTGAAATAAAGAGAAGATAGAGTTTTGCTTTTTTTTTTCTTGTCTTCAACCTGACCATTAATGTTATTTTATTTTATTTTTTTAGCCCCAACCATACTTACTGATGTTGATCCTAATTCCAAGGTGATGCAAGAAGAAATTTTTGGACCAATTCTTCCAATAGTGTCTGTGAAAAATGTAGATGAAGCCATTAATTTCATAAATGATCGTGAGAAGCCCCTGGCGCTCTACATATTTTCCCATAACAATAAGGTAAGCTTCATAAAGAATAATCCCCTCTCAAGAGCCAGATTACTTTGTTGCTCTAGACCATAGATGGTGTATTTACATATCAAAGTTGACTGACTGTATTCAAAGCTTGCTGTCTTAGGTAATGGAGCCTTGGGTTATCATTGATCCCCTTCCCTTACTCCCTGGAATTAGAACTGAATCCACAGGGATGAATGTCACAAGGCTTTGAAACACCTCCTGAATAATTAGAAAACTTACATGTACTAGTATGTAGTGCTTTTGTGACATGGACCCATAGAGCCTACCCCTGTGACACAAATGGCCTTCGTAGCCACTCAGACGGGGCTGGGGAAGTCAAAGACCTCTGGCAAATCATATAAATGGTTGTGAGAACTTGAGTTTCCACTACCCAAAGGTTGGCAGCTCTGTATCACTGGACAAGTAGCTCTGCCTCTTTCTGTGTGCTTTGTCATTCATGTCACTAGGTGACTTGCTGCTCTTAGCAGATGATGACTTCCACATGGACACATAGGTTCAGGATCCTTCTGGAAAAATAAAAATGAGAAGGGAAGAAGGGACCAGTTAATGTGAGGAGTTCATTGAACAGGTGCCGTGTGCAGTTTCTGTTGGAAGGTGCAGTAGTCACATGGTGCTTGTGTGCTAGTGGCGTTCTCATGGCTACAGGTACCTGGGATACACATGCATAATCCAGTGAGGTCACTAGCAGCACACAGCTGGTGGGGAACACTTCCTGTGGTCACTGCAGTCTCGTTCGACATCTACCATGAATCCCCAAGGCTTATACTGAGGGTTTTTTTTTTTAATCTTAGAACAACTAGCTATTTTTTTAAAAATAGGATAATTCTATCGTTCCTTTCTTTTTTTTCCCAAGTAAGAAGGTGAGCTATTGACACTATCTCACCACAAGTGGGATCAGGGATCCTGGTCCTACTGGGTGGTATTGTGACATATATCCTGGAGCATGCTAACCCAGCCTTTGCAGGCAAGCTTGCTTGAGCCTGTCAGGATGTCCTTTTGTGGAGAGAAGAGCTTTTATGACACCGACCTTCATGCAACTGGTATACTCCCATGAAGCCCAGGATAGGCACCTTTGGTGGCCTCTTCACTGCACTCACTGGGTGCACCTCAGTGGGAGACGTTTTAATTTTGTCAATAGCAGAAGGAGGTCTCCCTGGGAAGTGGCCCCCTGATTGTGGGTTGTCCACCTTCTAAAGGTGTGACCACGATCCTCAATCCTCGAGGTCAAGCCTGTGATAGTGAGTTTGGGTAGGCTTTGCTGTCAGGGAGTCCATCTGTTGGCAGATAAAGTCAGTTAACCTCTTGATGGCCCAAGGGTCAAATGCAAGCAACATTAAAAAGCCAGTAAGGCATCCTAAAATGGAAGGGTGAGGCTGAAACCAGTTTTGGAACTAGCCTAATTCTTTTTCTCACTGTATCCTTCTTTTTTCTAGCCTTATAACTATGATCTTGGCCATACTGTCTATTGTCACTCCTGTGTGATCTGTACATAAGTAGCATTCCTCTTTAAGGGATGCGCAGATTCCTCCTTGTTTGAGAGCACAAGGAATGAAATCCTAGTGCCTGCTTCCATGGCTCCCAGCCCCAAAGCACATCTTGTTTAGCCTAATAGTTAAGGCAGGGAACTAATTTAACTAAAATGTAAAACATAGGGGCAGAATTTAGGAGGGGTGAGTAGATATGATGGTAAGGCCATCCTGACAGGCCCATCGTTCTCAGGGATCAGATAAGCAGAGTTAGTATTGGGGAAGAGAGTGAGGTTGCAGAGGTGGGGATAGGTTGAGGGAATTTGGAAACTGGGCCGGGGAGGGGGCTATGCAGAGTCAGGAATACTGGTTCAGCATGTTTCACTGGAACTGACTTGGGCAGCTTTCCATGGTTTTAGGTCTGGTTTTTCTCTGCTCCATACATCTTACCAAATGTTCTGGCAGCCACCAAGCTTTGTTTTTTTCCTGTAAGAAAACACAAGCATTCCCTCCACCCCAAATTGGGTCTTTTCCACTAGTGTATAGATGTTTTTATCTGGCCAGAGCAAAAGTCACTCCAGTTCCATTATGCCAGAATCTCTCTGTAGTAGATTGTTTACTGGCATCTACATTTAAGAATTTTAAAATGAAGAGTACCTGATTTAATGTATCATGTGGAGACAAAGGCTATTCCCATGCCTGCAGAGCTGGTGTCTAAGGCCCTCAGTACTCCAAGTTCCACTAACAGGAGGATGAATTAGATGGCTCTCTTATGTCTAGGAATAAGATAATCTATGGGTTCACTTTCTGGAATAAACTCTACATCTGGGAGAAGGGTGGCTAATACACATAACCCTGTCCAATTTGTAGGCAACATGAAATAAGCCATTCCATTTTTACATGTATAGAAGTACAAGTTGTATTTTTAAGGAGCTATGAGCACGCTCCACAGTTCCTTGAGGATTATAAGGAATATCTGTGTTTTGCCCAAATTCTGAACCCCAAAATCACTAAGAGGCCCATTTTGATGCAAAAGCAAAGAGTCTTTTATTGAAGTTATTTAACAAGCTAAACCCATTAGCTCTAGCCCTTCATCCCGTGGATGGATGAAGAAAGACTCTGAGCAACCTCGAGTCAGGGATCTTAAAGGGCAGCATAAGGGGAGTGTCTAGGGTTATGAAACAGTCTCAGGATTGGTGCGCTTCCAGGTTTGGGTGACCTGCCCTGTGTTGATTGGTCAACTGGTTGTTATGGCCCATAGGCCCTCCCAGGGCTGTGTTATTTATGCTCTGCAGGTCACTGTTGTACACTTGTCTGTAAAGCACACCCAGAGCCGTAAAGCACAGCCCCACCAGCTAACTTCTGATTGGTTCCTCACCAGGAGGGCATCTGACCTCCTAGTGGCCAGGACAGGAGCGGCAAGGTCATGCAAGCACATGTTAGCCTCTAATGACTGCTAAAATGGAGGATTGGTCACTACACCTGTTGTGATCAATTTTCTTTCGAGTACAAAATAGCTGAATGCCTTATTAGAATATCCAGACCTATTGTCTGTTCTTTATCATTTTTGGAACTCCCATGTAAGCAAAACATTTTAAACAGTGACTTATCACATGTGTGGTAACTTTTTCAATTTGTGTGGTGGTCATCAAAAAACCTGAATACCTATTAACTGCCATGTGTACATATTTTAACTTGTTAAATTCTGTAACATGAATAACATCCATTTGCCATAAATGATTAGGAAGTAGGCCTCTAGGATTCACTCCTAAATTAGTTACAGATAAATATTGTGGGCACACTTTATTGTTTGACAATTTTAACAAGCAGTCTCTCTAGTTAAATCAAATTGCTTTCCTAGACTTTTGCTGTTTTGATGACGAAAATGGGACTGCAGAGCTCTCTTTACCAGAGACAAAATGACCAATTTTGTTAATCTATCTGTTGACTAGTTTTCTCTAGCCGGTGGGCTGGGAAGGTTTGAATGAGCTCTTATGTTACCCAAAAAACGTGGCAATTGTATTTTGAATTTGTTCAAATAATATTTTTACCTGATCATTGTTAGTTCCAGTGTACTGAACTGTTTTTATTATTTGAAGAGCCTTAAAAATATAATGATTGTCAGTGTACAATTAAATGAATCTTTTACTAGGAGTTGAAAAACCATTGTAACAGCTCATAACTCGACTATCTGAGCTAAAGCCAGAGTTGTTTGTTTTACATATTTCTTACTATCTATAACATAACCTGTTCTTCCATTAGAATAACCATTAGTAAAAAACCAGCACATTTTTTATAGGACTATTTTTTACTATTTTGGAGAATATAAAAGGATATATTAGCTTAAACTGTAACAGCCTATGAGCTGTAAACTGATTATCAATTCTCCCTGAAAATTGAGTAAAAGCCATTTACCATGAATCACTGTTTTGAAACAACCAATCAACTTGTTGTTGGTATAAGTAACATGTATTGAGGAACCAAAAAATATAATTAATAAATTTTTTAAAACGAGCCCTAAATCTATACAGAGAGAGGGAACTTATAATGGCAAAGGAAAATTTAACTCCTTAAATCAGGAGTGCCAGAGCCCCTGCTCTCAGAGAAGGGGAGGCAACTGTCCACCATTCCTGTTAGGGGCTGTCAGGAGTGGGGGGGGGCGTTTGATATGCAATGGGCAGGAGATCTCACCAGGGAATGTAGGTGTTAAGGAAGCATTGTTAAGCAATGAGTCATCTCTATGGCGCCAGGCCATCTGTATGAAATTGCCTGAGTTTTGGGAAGTGCCTTGGGAGAGAAATAGAGATTTACAGTGACCTGATCCTCAACATCTCCTCCCTTACTTTTTATTAATGAAGGAGAGGGGTCTGGACTGTAGGTCTGAGAGTAGGTGTTAGTTATTAGGATCTTAGGGCGTATTAAGATGGCCTCTTACGATGTTGCCCTTATCTTAGGGCCCTTAAAAAAGGCTGGCAATATTTATAAGAGGTTCTAAATAACAATGATCACTCCCAACATAATGTCTTTTGCATTTCATATCTGTTAATTTATGGTATTATTTAGATCAGGAATTGAGAAATAATTTTTTTGTTTGTTTTGTTTTTCAAGACAGGGTTTCTCTGTGTAGTAGCCCTGGCTGTCCTGGAACTTACTCTGTAGACCAGGCTGATCTCGAACTCACAGAGATCCACCTGCCTCTGCCTCCCAAGTGCTGGGATTAAAAGTGCGCCACCACCGCCCGGCTGAGAATTTCATGCATGTGTACAATGGGTTTTGATCACACTCACTCCCCAGTCTTCCCCTAACTTTTAATTTGCCTGTTTACTCATGGGTGTGGGGTCATCCACTAGGACATGGTTGGATAAAGAAAAAAAGCCATTGAACTGTCAGTATCTCTTCAGCTGTGGGGTAGGGGCTCATGAGGCCCTCTCCCTTCCATGCTGGCGTGTTGACTGGCTTGATCTTATGTGGTCACCTACAGCTGTCGTGAGTTCAGGAGTGTAGTGGTCTTTTCTGAAAGACTGTTTTGCTGCTCCCCATCCTTACCATCTTTTCACCCCTTCTTGATGATCCTCAATGTCTGAGGGGCAGAGTGTGATATAAATGTCCCATTTGAGGCTGCTCATTCCATAGACACTTATTCTTTTCACTTTGACCAGTTGAGAGTTTCCATGTCAACCGCTATCCACTGCACAGAGAAACCTCTCTAATGAGGTCTGAGAAGTGTATTAATCTATGGGTATAGAAATACACATTTAGAGGGTAGTTTGACTCTAAATCCACTTAGAAAAATCCTAGTAGCAGGTTCATCATTAGAGCCTCTGAGCTCCCAGCCATGAATTTTTGGTCAGATTTATAATGCCAGGCATGTTGCTTCCTATGGAACTGGAAAGTAAATCCAAGCAGAAGGTGGTTAGTTGCCCTCATAGCATGAATGTTATTGCACCCACAGGCATATCATTATTGCAGTTCACAGGATTTACAGCTAGGTAGACTCCCTCCACCCTTTCCCCCCAGTAGCCTGTGTAGCACTTCCTGGTACTGTAAAAGCTATTTAGCAGGGCAGAAGTCTTCTGGTCAGTGCTACCTTGACAGAAGTAATAATTTCTAAGTTGCCTCTTGTTAGTACTGTTTTGGAGTATAGATCTTGATGGTGATCAAGGAAACAGACCCAAAAGTTTAGGGTCACCCTCTTTATCTACAGACTGATGTGCTGAGGACCAGAAGTGTCTACTATTTTAGATTTTTTTTTAAGGTAGCATCTCACTGTGTACCCTAGGCTGGCTTTAAACTCATGTTCCCCCTGCTCCAGCCTCTCAAGAACAGAGATTTAAGGATGCTGCCTGCTACCCCGTCTGACTGCAAAAGTTTTTTAGATTTTGGAATGTTTGCCTGTAAATGAGCTACCTTGGAAATGAGACCCAAGTTTAAGAGTCTTCTGTGTTTCATGAAGCAATATATACATAGCCTGAAGATAATTTTATATAATATTTTTAGTAATTTTTGGCATGAATTTTGTGTTTCCCAAACTTAAGAACTTGCACCAGCACACAAAGACAGGATGCATGTCCTGCATGTCCTTAGAGCCCACAGTGAGTGCACTCCAAGACACGGGGTGACAGGACATTAGCTCTGACCTGGTGCCTTTGGTCTGTTCCTCAGCTCATCAAACGGGTGATTGACGAAACATCCAGTGGGGGAGTCACAGGCAATGATGTCATCATGCACTTCACTGTCAATTCTTTGCCCTTTGGAGGTGTGGGTAAGTATGACTGTTCTATTGCAGTGATGAGACACCATGACCAAGACAACTTAAAAGAGGAAGCATTTAACTGGGGGCTGGCTTACAGTTTCAGAGAGTTGGTCCATCATCATGGCATCAGGGAGCATGGAGGCAGGTAGGCAGGCATGGAACTGGAGCCGTAGCTGAGTGTTTATCTGCTCCATGAGTTGTAGGCAAAGGGACTCAGACTCCACCTAGAGTGGGCTTTTGAAGCCTCAAAGCCTGCCCCAGCAGTACACCTCCAAAAAGACTAGGCACATTCCCACAAGGCCATGCTCCTTAATCTTACCCAAGCAGTTCCACTAACTGGGGACCAAACATTCAAAATTGGAGCCTATGGGGGCCTTTCTTATGGCCCCCAAATCACCGCAGTGACCGTCTCCTGAACAGAAATATTCCAGAAACATGATTCCTAGATTTCTTGTTTGGTGCTATTTATTCTGCAGGTCTCTGTGAGCTTGTCCTTTTCTGAGAACCCTTGCAGCCACCCAACTAGTTTCCTGTTTGCCATCTCTGATGAATCCCTCTCTGTCCTCATTAGCACTGACCACAGCTGTAGTGGCTGGCTTCACTTAGTTACTTTCCCTACATTTGCTACCAGATTCAGGAGGCTTAAGGGCCAAGAATCATGTTCCAAAGTAATTAGTAAGATCTCTCCTTTTAAATGAGGAACAGGAAAGAAAGGTTTTGAGTGCCAGAAACAGAGTATTTCCTGATATCCCTTTGGGTTCTACTCAAGGTGATGTTGAGGGGTAGTCAGTGCTGCCCATACTAGCTTCTCAAGCCTCTTTAGGGAGGGGCTGCCTTTCCTTGCGAGTTGCTTGATTTGAGGAAGAGAATCCCCTGTTCTCTAGAGGATGGGCAGAAGCCATTTTGTTCTTGGGGAAGCATTACGGGCAGTCTGGTTCTATTTCCGGGTCCTTCCTCCCATGGACACAGCTTTAGCTGGCCCCTCTTCTCTCCTCCCTCGCTGTCCTTCGGTTTTCTCTCTGGTTTCATTGTCTTTCCAATGAATCAATCTTGCATTCTGAAATGATGCCCTCCATCAAAACAGTTGAGTCGCCAGTGGCCTGGCCCCAGCAATCTGCCCCCTGGCTTCCAGTCATTCTGCCTTCTGTCATTGCCTTATACATGCCATTGTCACTGCACAGGACAGTTTGCACCTGCCAGTCTGTTATGCATTGTGAATTATGCAAGTGTAGCTCCCAGGAAGGCAGGAATTTTTCCTTGCTTATTCTTACCTAACTGCTTAACCTTGTTACCTTGTTCCTGGTTGCTCTTCAGGGACTTAGAGGAAGCAGGTGAGAGGAGCCATGCATAAATAAGGCCATGTGGACTCATAGAAAAAGCACACACGGGAGGGAAATGGAGAGGGACCTGGAATTGACATGTGAAGCAACCTTGTTTCTAATTTAAATTTAAAAATAAAAAAATACTAAAAATAAAGAAAGAAAGAAAAAGCACACACACAGCATCTAACATCATACTAATCTGGGTTCACATTTCAGGTTCCTCCTTTAACAGCCATGTGACCTTAGGCAGATCAACTAGTTCTATAAACTCCTTTTCCTGTCTGGAAACTGGGTTGGAGGTATAGACCACTGCAGGGCTGGGGTGGGAGTCCCCAGAAGAACTCACTGAAACTCTTAGCACACTTCTGACATAAAGGATAGCGCAAGCCTAGAAGGGCTGCAGATCCTGGCTCTGCTCATGGAAAGCACCCTGACTGAGAGGGCAGTGACTGTGCGGGGAGGGGGGGGGGTTGGGTAGGGTTTCTGAGAAGAAAAGCAAATACGTTGGGTGTCTACAGCCCAAGCAGAACACACCCGGGCTTTCTCAGTCAACTTTTGAAGTGGGAAGCACCTACAATGAAATTTGTTTTATCTGTTCCATTTATTTCAGGTGCCAGTGGAATGGGGGCTTATCATGGAAAGTATAGTTTTGACACCTTTTCTCATCAGCGCCCCTGTTTATTAAAAGGCTTAAAGGGAGAAAGTATTAACAAGCTCAGGTACCCTCCCAACAGTCAGTCCAAGCTCAGTTGGGCAAAGTTCTTCCTGCTGAAACAGTTCAACAAAGGAGGCTTGGTGATGCTGATGGTCGCGTGCTTGGCTGTGGTTGCAGCTGTGATTGTCAAGGTGAGTCCCGGCCCCTCCTGAGGCGCTAGTCCTCCTGGCCCTTCTTCCTGTCAGGGGCTGCTGGAGCTACATGAGTCCCTCTGTCGAGACACTCCATCAGCTTCTGAAGTCCCAGTCTGATGGTTAGCTACCTGTTTTTCATAAATACAGTTGTTTACTTCCTGTCTTAGCTGCTTTTCTGCTGCAGTGTCAAAGGTCAGTAGTTCTGACCAAGGCTGAATGGCCTGCAAAGTCAGAATTCGTATAGGAGTTTGCCGACTTTTTAAAGAATTGAAGTACTGTAGAGCTTGCTAGAAGGCCCTGCTCTTCCGGATATATTGGTCTTCACTACTCAGTTTCCCTTTGTTCTTGAATGTGCATGGAGTCATCATGATACGAAGGAATGGTGGTGGTGGTGGAAAGAACTAGGAAGGGGTATAATTTTATTAGGTATATTTTTCCTCCAAAGTGGATTGCCAGACAAAGTTTGTCTTGGGCCCCAGGACATCCTAGAGGTGGATTGCAAAAAGGCCCTTGTGATAGCCTCCTTCTCTGGGTGGGGTATACAGATGAAGGAGGAAATCTGTGGGAATGAATGGAGATGGAATGGGGAAGGGTTTCCTCAGATAACCAGGGAGTTGTGTGGTAATGTCTGTGAAGAATGGCTGTGGATGAGAGGCAAGAGGCAAGCGTTTAAGGGAAATGCATGTTTATGTATAATGTATCTTGGTTAAATGTAAAAAGTTGTTCATCTCACTAACACCATGCTGGTGGATTGGTGATAACAGCTGCATTTGAAATCATTTGGGTTTTCTCAGAAATACCAAGCTCTGCCGAGGGGGAATGCCCTGTTGGCTTCTCTAGCAGTTCACAGACTGTGCTGGTCCAGTAAACACTCATGATCAAATCTCAGCTGTCTGTTGAGAGTGAGGTAGGAGCTTCCTGTTTTCTTTCTGTGCGTGAGGTGGGCCAGGCTGGGTTCTGTTTGGTTTGAGATGTTTCTATGGCTGCAGGGTTAGGGTTACTGACAAAGGATGTTTTACTTACATATATTGGACGTTGGCCCGGAGATAATCATGTTAAAATTCAATTTGGGCATCATTTAAGAGGGACAGGGAAGGGTACTGGTAACCTGAGAGAAATGTATAGGAGGGAGGTCTAGGCTGGCTCTGGTGAAATCTGTATCCTTTCTAAAAGTGAGTGGCCACGTGATGAGCTGCACTGTTCATCTGTGGTTCAGGAGGGGGTGCCAGGCAGTTACAACCCACAGTCACTATTTAGATATTTAACTTTTTGTTTCATAATTTGAGAATATTTTTTAAAGTCTCAGAGTTGTTTCATTTTAATTAAAAATAAAACCCTACACCTTGGGAATTTGCAGTGGCAGGGTTTTTTTCCTCTTTTAAATCTTTCTGAGGCTGGAGATTTGGTTGGAGGTAGGCTTGGGTCTCTGGTCAATAGCCTTTTTCATCTGACATTGGTCTCTTAGCCTCATGTGCATATTTTTGGTTGGGTAGACTTTCTTAACCTCTGGGTGACATGGAGAGCCAAGCTTGCCTTGCCCCTAAGAAGGCCCACCTAGCCGGCACCACGTGCACCACACAGGCATTTGGCACACGTCTTTCTTAGCCAGGTCTTTGGTGGGAATGAGAGCATGTGGGCTCCCCTGAGCTTTTACTTGGATCTCCTACGAGTGTGGAGGAATTTGCCATTTCCCAGGCCTTTCGACTTCTCCCACCTCACTGCTGTTGGCCAGTACGTTCATTTCTTTTTTTAAGCAGCGTGGGATCAGGGGAAGATCTGGTTTGGGCCCTTTGTTGACTCTTTGTTCTCTTCTCCGACTTTTTATCCTCTTTATATCAAATCACATTTTATTTTAAACAGTGACTCAGAATGTAGATTGTGTTGCTCATTTGGGTCTTTACAAATATTCTGAAAACACTTTTAAGGCTTTTTTCCTTTTAGATGTTTTTGTACATCTAAAAGCTCGGCACCTGTGCTGTATCCCCAAGCACAGTGAGCTTAATTTGAAAGACACATAGTGATTGTGACATACCTTGGGATGAGCAGGTCAGGGCCAGTGGTACCTGTCACTTGCTTTCTCAGCACTTTGTGTCAGGTCTTTTGAAACAGACTGTTTCTTACATCCACCCACACATTGAGGAGTCCATTGTAATTACGGACATTTGTCTAAAGTGCCTTTTCTGTACTCCATGGTTTACTTACATTGTTAGTGTTTTCCTTTCCTTTTATTAATTTACTGGAATTAGAGTGAATTTAGAATAAAGGCCACAAAAGAAAGTTCCAGCAAAGCTTGTAAGCTATAGAAAGTATTATGGACAGTCTGGGCTTTTTAGATTTATGTATTTTTGTTTTATATGTATGAACACTTTGCCTGCATGTGTACTGTATGTGTTCCTAGTACCCACAAGACCAGAAGAGGATGTCAGATCCCCTGGAACTGGAGTTACATGTAGTTGTAGGTACTGGGAACCAAAACCTAGTCTTCAGTAAGAGCAGAAAGTACTCTTAACCATCTCTCTGTCCCCTGGTCAGGGTTTTAAAAAGTAGAGAAATATCAAGGTTGGTTAAAATTAAGGGATGCTGTGGCCTTTACACAGTTGAATTAACGATTTCATCTGTAGCACTACTAGCTTAAACTGGATCGGTTACATTACTGCTCTTGAACTTTAGAAATAAACTTGCCAATCTTTAATGCCAACTCTTGAGCCTCCTACTACAGTGCCAGGATAATACATGTCTCCGCTCTTATCTCTTGGTTTTGGACAGTGTCCAGTCTGCTCTCACCTGTCTTACTGTTAATAAAGAGGAAATGTGTAATTCTTTATTTTGAGTTGAAACTGCACTATGGCTTCTTAGGGACACATAGCTTCTTTTTCTTTTATGAATTTGAAGTCTCTTAAGAAAGAAAGAATTTGTGAGAGTCTCAATCCCAGATTTATGTTCTAAGGCTGCTATAGGTGGTTTTCTCACAGCAGAGTTAACATGAATCCCTTTCTCCTCTCTCCAGGAATATCTGTAATGACTTCCTCGTAGCCTCTACTGAATTATTCCTCTACTAAATGGTTTCCAAACCAAAACTTTAAAAATCATACCCAAGCCAGGAAATTCACAGATGTACTGCAATCAAACCTAAGTCGTTGCCACTAACCATTATCAAAACTCACTGTTTGAGCCAAATTCCAGCATTTGTCAGCAAGGAAGGTACTGTGCTGGGGCAGGAACATGTCACCAAATCCATCACTTCTTTGCTCCAGCTCACAGCACTTCTGCATCTTCTGCTGCTGGGCATCAGTAGAGCCCTCGAGTGTCAACACGGCCCAGGCTTAACCCCTGTCCTCTACTGTCCAGCTCCTAAGGGTACTAAGCTTGGGAAGTGGATATGTCCACCTCATCCACTGAAACGAGACTCTGACCTTCAGGAATTGGCTGTCGGTCTAAGCATCCTTTGTTGCACATCAGCTGAAGTATGTGTGTTTGTGACAGTCTGTTGTCACTGTCCACAGTGCCTTTGTGATGACTTAAGCTACACCGAGCCTCTTGCCAAGAAGCAGTGAGAGCTTCTTGTAGTCACACCTGTTCCAGAGGCCTAGGCTAGAAGACCCCTGATCCCCAGCCTACGCTACATAGTGAGGACCACCCCCCTATTCTCCATAGACCCCCTCGAGATCCTAAAGTTGAATGTCACACATACCTTCAAGGATAAATCTTTTCTTGTTTTCATAGCACAATGCAAGGAAGTTGTGCTTTTTAAATCTAGCCTACAGATCTTAATGTATGGGCCAGCTCCTGTCATGGACAGGGAGATGTTAGGATCTGAGGCTTCAGAATGCATGGGACAGAGACTGTTGGACAATGCTGTGAGCATTGAAACATACTGAAAGGGATGGATGGTAAGAAGAGCTTCTGAGCATGGGGAGCCATTAGTATCATTCAGCTCCTAATGTGGCCAAGCGGGGAAATGGCAAAGGAGATCTGTGTAGAACTCAACTCCCTGCTGCCAGGGCCTGGCTGCGCCCGGAGCTCCAAACTGTAGAGCCCCCACTGTCTTCCAGATTAGCGCTTGACCTACTCAATGAGAATGTAACTTGCTTTATTGGATGTATAGCCATCTTTGCTGAATAACCTGTCCTATTATTGAGCTGTCTGAAGGGTGTTGTCTCTACTGAAGTATGGGGTATCAAAACTAAATCATTGGCCTGTGTAGCAAGTAGATGTTTAAGTGGCTGTTGTTATTGAGTAATCATAAAATATTTTGCACAAAATTTCATTGTAGAACTTGTACTTATATTAAATTATAAATCATAACTTTTAGTTAGGCTAGAATACTTACACAATATACTGATCTTCAAAATAAATGTATTTCATAAATTATTGTGAGTGTTCATTTCAACCTCAGATATGGAGATAAAAATCCCTTGATTATAAAGTTTCTCTGTAAATTCATTTTGCATTTTATGCCTCAAAGACAGTATTGCTAATTCTAGTTGTTACACTTCTTCATTTTAAATTCTTATCCAAGAAAACTTCTCAAACTTCACACTCTGTTCTGCGAGTGCGTGTGAAGGCTGCGGTGCCATATTTCACCATCGAGCCTGGAACTGTTCACCAATCACAGACCTGAAGCAACCAAGAACTTGGAGCACTGCCATGTGCCATTCTGTGGCTGTGTGGCCAGACAAGCTGGGCTTTGCTGCTCTGGTTCACACCATTTCACTGCTGAAAAGGAGTGCACTGCAGAGCAAGTGCTTCTCAGTCTGAGAGGGTGAGGGGGGCAGCGAGGGCTGCCGGGCGGGGCCTTCCCACCTGTGGCCAGCAGGTGCCCAGTGCTGCCCAGCTAGGGCTTGCTGGCCCTTCTCACAGATCCACAAGGACCAGCAGGCTGTGCCAGGGAAAATACAAATGTTACCGGTGCTTTCGAAATTTCGTTTTATTTTAAATCTTTTATATTCTTGAATAAGACTAGTTATTCCTGGATTCTCACTCTTCTGATAGGTAGTCTGAGTCAGAGAAGGAAAAACCAGTTTGATCACAGCGTAATTGTCACTCCGCAATTCAGACCTCCGAGAGTGTCACCAGCAGGTGCTACATAAAGTGTACAGGGTCCACCTGCACTTGATCTGCTGTCATGGAATGCAGGTGTCTGTCGGGGTGGACACCTGCTTTCTTTGTTTCCCAGCTCTTTTAGTGTTTAGTCCTCTTTAGTGAGGACTCAGATGAAAGTCATGCAGCTTGTGGGCTGATGCTACCCCTAGGGCACCCCCCAAGCATTGCCATACATCTGCTGGCAGGATGTGAAAGGATGTGAGCTGCCTCTGGAGCACTTGACACTTGGCCTTGACGTCATCGTGAAGTTAATTCTGGGGGAGCTGTCTAAAGCACTGCAGAAGCCAACTCCATAGTGCAGGGAACAGGGGAAAGCTTCAGACCCAACAGCAGGGGTCTAGGCATGGTGAGCTGCACTGTCTGGTCTCTGCCCTCAGCACTGGGGGTGAGGGGATGGGGGAACACACGACACACCTGGCAGAACAGCATCTTCAGGCACTACAGGACTGCTGCACATATGACCGGCCTCACAGAGCTGACAGCATGCCCAAGACCCGCACAGGTCTAAAGCAGACACAGTCCCAGCACTGAGGAGAGGTGGACAGAGCAGAGTGTGCTGCCCCAGCCCAGCCACCCCTGTGGCTCAAGAGCTGTGCAAAACCAATACATGTGGCCATGGGGACAGGCACGGGAGGCTGAGCAGACAGACATCTTGATGCTGCCTCCCTGCTATGGAAGGTAGAAGCCCTATTTCAGATGGCTTCTTGTGCCTTTGGGGGGCCCCTTTTTCCTCCATCTACTCTGTCACACTTGTAGAGCCAAACTCAAGGAAGGATATGGCAAAAGCCCTTGAAGGAACCTGGCCCGGTGAGCTCCTTCTTGTTTTCCTTTATTCTCCTGGCTTGGTATCAGCTTTCCCAGTGCTGCAAGCCCTTTCCACATCCTCTCCTCCACCCCAGCAGTCATTACTCCAGCGTCCTCTGCCAGCTCCTGTAACCCAGGCCACATCGGCAGTGACGTGCCTCCTACTCAAATAAACCCCAAACTGGGGTGCCACAGGCTCTTAGAACTTGAGGGACCAGCAGATCTCCCCAACTCCCCTTGACAACTCACTTCTGGTGGCCTGGGCAAGGACACAGATGGTTATTGTCAGGGCTGTTGACTTGCTGGGCAGGGTAACACAGACTTTGTCCATCTTAGAGACTGACCATCTTTGAGATACCAGGTTTTGGAGAGGATGTGGCTGGAACTGAGCCATGCTGACTACAAAAGTCCTTTGCCAAGCATGTTCCAGAGCAATGGTTCTCAATCTTCCTATTGCTGCGACCCTTTAATACAGTTCCTCATGTTGTGGTGACCCCCCAGCCATAAATTATTTCATTGCTACTTCATAACTGTAATCTTGCTACTGTTATAAATCATAATGTAAGTATCTGATATGCAGGATATCGGATGTGTGACCCCTGTGAAAGAGTCGTTTGCTACCTTTTGGGATTGTGACCCACATGTTGAAACCATTGTTCTAGACCATTGTGGAGGTAGGAGGCCCTTCTGTCTGCAGAGAGCAGAAAGGGTGCACACAACCAGTGATTGCATTGCGGGCATCAGTAGAATCTTTGCCAGGTCCTGAACTTTTCTGTCTCAATGCTTCCTCTAGTTGTTCTTTCCTGTAAGCTGGGGCTAGAGTACCTGGGTTCATATCCTGGCTCTGCTTCATATGAGCTGTGTGGTCTTGGGCAAGCTAAGCTTCAGTTTCTGTCTATGTACTGGGAATAAAAGTGTGAATACATATACCTTACTTCTGTAGACACATGTTGAACTTTAATATTATAAAATGCTTTCAAAACAGTTGTGGCACATTTCAGCATTCCCTGTGTTAGGCACTGTGTAAGTATTGTTTACTGACATTGTTATTGACAGTTAATTTTGCTGTGGTATCTACAGAAAGGCCTTGCTTTGTTATATAAGACATTACAGTGATTGTGATAGGGAATTTCCTAGACCCAGCTCCCAATGTCCTATTTGAGAAGACCCCATTGGCTTAGTCTGAAGGGTGCATGTATTAGGAGAGAGCAGTCCATTCTAGTGGTTTCCATTGAAACAGACAAAACTCATTGCTGCCTAAGCCTCAAAGAGATCAGTGTCACTGGCTTTTGTATGGATGGGTATGAATGGGGTGTAGCCTACCAAGCTTGGTGGGCTCAGAGCATTTTGTACTCTGTTTTCTGCCAGATTCCTGCTAGAGAGTTCCACCTGGGAGGTTGAAGGGCATGCATCTAGGATATCAGTAAAACAGTGTCACCATATGGTAACAAGTGTCACCGGGCTAGGAATCTAATTGCACAGCACTAGATTGATCCCAGAATAGATCTACCACTGCTGGATCAGCTAGAAATCCCAGAAACTAAACAGAATGGGGGTTGTGCTAGCTAACTTTGCATATAACAAACTTATGACCAGAGGAGAGACTATTAATAATTTGTGTTTGGAAAAAAATTTAGACTAAGGTGGAGCTGACTGTACAGGTCAGCTTTTGGTTAACATTCTGGGAAAGGGAGACCATTTTCCTCATCAGTGTAGCCACTGGTAATTCCCACCATGTACACACAAGCAACTCTGATCAAACTCAGTGGATCACATACAGAAAGCCAACCAAACATAAGGCAGGAAACTAGGGGGGTGGGCTTGTTGGAAGAAGGAGGGCTCAGCAGGAGTGGGAGGGTGAGAGAAGGTAATGGGGTGACATGACCAAAGATAGATAGATAGATGGATGGATAGGTAGATAGATAGATAGATAGATAGATGGATAGGTAGGTGGATGGATGGATAGATAGATGGATGGATGGATAGATAGATGGATGGATGGATAGATGGATGGATGGATGGATGGATGGATGGATGGATGGATGGATGGATAGATGGATTCATAAAATGGTTAAATAACAATAAATAAAAATTTTAAGATATTCAGAATAGAGAAAATATCATGTATGCTACCAACACGTTGACTACACTTAACCTGCCGATCATCCCAGTTAAGCCTTGCCAGTCACATCCATGAATGCGTGCACTGGTCTACAGCTGGACAAAATATCCCACACAAAGGCTACTGTATGATGCAGTGTGGATACTTCATGGAGCCTCAAACACCGGGCTGAAAGTGAAGAACCCAGTGGATATGTGCCTATGCTTCTATGCCGTACTGAAGTTGAATTTTTTCCTGTGGCGCCATCATAATTGAAATGTGGCCCGCATAGTCCCAGAAGCTGGTGAGTGCCAACATCTACACCCCCATAGCTTCCCCATTGTTCCGCCCACAGCCATTAGAAAGATAGGCATGAGCCCAGAAGTTCAGATGTCTCTTGGTTTGGGACAAAACAAAGGATCCTTTTAATGTGGAGAAAAAAAATTAGAAGGGAACTAGCAAGCTGAAAAATGTTTTCAGTATATGGGCTAAAGAATTATATTAACTGAGAATTATAATGATGGGGGAGAGTTCAAGCTACTCAAATCAGTGGAAGATAGGGACCACTTACAAAAGGAAAACCAGTGACCCATCAACACATAAAAGCAATTTAATTTTATAAGCAATAAGAAAAATACATGTCAGAGCAACTTATTTATAATTGAGAACATTATAGTAAGAGTAAATAAAAAAATTAGTAAATGGTACCCAATGCCAGTGAGGTTTTGCTGGTGGATAAGAATCAGCACAATTGACACTGGATTTCAAGGCCATTAATCAAGAGACTCAGCCTCCAATAGTGCATCATAAGGAAATTATCACAAGAGATCAGAAGATTTTCTATAATAATGTTACTGTATAGCTAGTGGGCCAAGCTAGGCCCTTCTGCATACCAGGGAAGCCCTCCACGACCCAGCTACACCCTACCCCACACCTCACACATTTATTTTCAGTAGTGGATATCCTAAATATATATGGAATTCTAGGTAAGTCCTGGAGTTGTCATTGTGGAAGCCTTCTTAATTATATCAAGAGACTAGTCACGTATTTTAAAGACACTCTTACAGAGGGCAAGTTCAGTTTCCTGCACCCACACTCAGCAACCCACAACTGCTTGTCACTCTAGTTCCAGAGGATCTGGTGTCCTCCTTGCCTCTGTGGGCGGACACACACACACACACACACACACACAATTAACAATAAAAGGAACCTTTTAAAAAGCAGATTATAGTACAATATACATCTATCACCCCCACTTCAATATGTGTGTTTGTATAACCTTGAATTAATTCTGGAAAGATACTATAAAATGTCTTTTTTTTTTCTGGCTAGTGGGATTAAAGGTGATTTATAACCTTTA